AAAGTTGGCCGTCATAGACATATAGACATAAATCGCTGGATTTAACCGAAGTAATCCTCCTGAAAAAAAAAGAGTCAGAAAAACGAATGAGCAACAAAAAATGAATGGCTCTTACGTCATCATCATCATCATCATCATCATTGTCATCCTCAAAGATAGTCGAATCATCCTGAGTCTCTGGCCAGCGTAACGATCCACTTCTTAAATTCTCGTCTAACTCGGGCAAAGGTGGATGACAGTCGACAGGAGCCATAAACCTTGACGCAGCTATTTGGGCTGATATTGATGGCCCGGGTGATTCGGACGAGACACCACCGGTCGCATAGTCACTGTCAGGATTCCTACTGGATGTTGAGGGAGGTCCCTAAAAAGTCCTTTTTATCTTGGTGAAGGGGTGAAGGTAGTTATAATCAATTAACCATTGCCATAGCTTGTCGTCTAGCTTTTTCTTCCAAGCGGTCCAGTTCCACTTTAGATGTGATGATGGGCGGGGGTAAGTATTGCTCCCGACTTCGAACCCTAAGGAAACTTTAGAGCTGATTTCAATAGGTTAGCCAAAACTGAGTAGTAAAATACATAGGGTTTTGATAGGTTGCCTGTTGGTCTAATGCTGTATTGAACGCGCTTATCGACTGACTGATTTGGGTAGGAATCAGTTCCTAAAGAAAATGCAAAAGAAGCAGCAATGGGTGAAGTATGGTATTCAACCTTACTTGACTTCTTGGCGGATAGTTTATATATGTATTTTCCTCAAAATTCTGACGATTAGGTATGATTGGCATAGTTGAATCCCGATAGTAATCTCGAGATTCCATATTCTTTAAATCCGATTTTGTACAGCATACCATCCTGCATAGGCTAAAATGAATAAGATGACCTTAATGTAACTGATCCACAGGTCTTTGCGGCCTTTAATAGTTATGGACTTACGAATGTCGATAAACCCATAGTACTATTAACAATGATATGAATATCGCTATAACCAGCAAAGGAACAACAACCCACAATACCCATTCATTTCCTGTATTGGCTGGTTGTATCTAAACGGAACAGAGTTCATTTAGGTCAACTTAAGTCTAGTCCTTATACATCCAAAAGCTAAAGAAAATGGGGATAAAA